ACTAGCAACTGGACAGAGTTCTAAGTCTCCTGATAAATAGGTTGAAGCTGTATTCCCAAAGACAGTACATGCTGCCTTCAAAATCAAAGGAGGCCCACTGAATGATAAGCTGCTTTCTTAGTGGTGGCGGTGAGAAGTGCAACAATTTGTCCTTTACATTAAAGGTAATGCTCCCAGCATACCCAGAGTGTTGAATCTTAACAACTTCATCAATGTGACAAGCCCTCAATTATCTTGGAGTTTATCTCCCATTCCTTGGGTTACATGTATTTTACTGGCCACTTAGCCTGTTCTACTCAAAGTGTAGTCTACAGACAGATATTGGCTGGTCAACACTTGGTTACAAGCCCGTGGAAAGATAAATTCATAAATTGAAAATCTGTATTTAGAAATTTTATAGCAATTTGCCATTGCTGTGACTTCCAAGCACGTGATCATAAGACTCATCTCATTGAACAAGGTATAGATTATTGTGATTCTTGTCAAATTCACATGGTGATTTGCACATGCAGCAAGGTATATACTGCTCAAGTTCAGTTATTTCCAAAAGTATTGCTCTAAGACAGTTTGGAAAAAATAAAAAAAGAATTAAAGAGTTTCAGAAGCATTGATCCAGAGTATTTGCCTCTTTGTACTTTGTACTCCTGGACAGAGGGCAGGAGAGTTAAAATAGCCCTGGGGCCAGAAAGTAACTGTGTACTCTTATCTTTGTTATTTGAGGGCAAACTGCTTTCGATTCTTCCTACTGATTGGAATCAAGAAAGGCACATTTACCAAGTTGGTAACTGCATACCAAAGTCTATGTTGATTTGCTCGGGGAAGATACCACGTGCTGTACAGCAGCATCTATTGGAGCTGATACCTGGTTAAGATTATAGTTGTCCACTGTCATCTGCCATGATCCCATTTTTGCAGAAGTCAGACAGGCGAATTGAATGGTAATATAAGGGAAACTACAACCCCTGCATTCTTTAAATCATTCTTTAAATCTTTGATGGTGATATAAGTTTTTGCAATTCTTCCTAAGATGTCATCTTGCTTCTAATTTACTATCCTGACTTGGGGTGACAGTGGCAGTTTCAAAGACTTCTACTTGGTCCTCCTACATAATGACTATTAATCTATAGGCCAGGGAGCTAGTACGAAGGTTTTGCCAGCTAAGATTTTCTACCCTAATTATACATTCAGTGATTTAACCATAAAATGCATTCATGGGGCAATCAGATCCACTGTGAGTTGGAATTGAGCCACTCCACTGGTCCCCATTCTAACTGGAGAATTATGTTGGTGTCAATATCAGCCCAGTCCTTGTATCTAACAGTTCTTGAATACTTGATACTCCTCTTTCTTCCAGTGCATGCTCTCACCTAGCAAATGGCCACAAGTTCTTTTGGGAAGCCACCTATCAAAAGGAGTCATTATATAATTTATAGGCAAGAGAAGATTCCTCAAGGTTGAGGTGCAGCTTCTGCCAGCCAGAGGGTTCCGAGGACTAGTGGGCTGAAGTGAGCACATACCACCTTGCAGAAGCCATTTGTGTGCACTTTTAAAAAATTCTGTGTTTGGTGATGTTATGTTGTTGGTAGCTTGAAATTGACCAAGGTGGGAATGTTTACATAAAAGAAATTGGCAAATATTAAAATGTGCTTCCCCACAACTCCCTCCCTTGAGAGCTGGTTGTTAAATTTTTTTCCAGTACATTACAGGTTCAAGGGCAAATTGGAAGATTAGATACTCTTAGGCTCATCTATCCAAATGCCCCATCCTAGGTCTTAGGGTAATACTCTTTTCCCTTTCAAGAACCAGAGGTGGGCTAGGAGACCCTGAAAATTCATGCATTTGGCTGCCTTTTCAACTCTTCTGCCCTTACAATCAGATCCTGGGTGTGCTCTTCAGTACAGTTCGCTTTAGGCTACAGGAAATCACATTCTTTTTTTTTTTTTTTTTTTTTTTGAGACGGAGTTTCGCTCTTGTTACCCAGGCTGGAGTGCAATGGCGCGATCTCGGCTCACCGCAACCTCCGCCTCCTGGGTTCAGGCAATTCTCCTGCCTCAACCTCCTCAGTAGCCGGGATTACAGGCACGCACCACCATGCTCAGCTGATTTTTTGTATTTTTAGTAGAGACGGGGTTTCACCATGTTGACCAGGATGGTCTCGATCTCTTGACCTCGTGATCCACCCGCCTCAGCCTCCCAAAGTGCTGGGATTACAGGCTTGAGCCACCGCGCCCGGCAGGAAATCACATTCTTATTAAAAATTGACAGTAGAGGCCCTCTGGCTCTCATGGTGTGACTTAAGGTGACAGGTGGCTGCCCTGAGGCATCATTTTATTTTACAATCTATAAAATTCCATCAACAGAATCAAGCCCACTCTATAGTCCTCACAGTTATTGTCCCCACACTGTTCAAACAGTATGGCTACTTCCTATCCCAATGCCCCACCTTCTATCTGTGCTGCATCCCAATTAGCCACGGGTGGGAAGCCTTTGTAATCATGGTATCACCGTGTGGCTTCATTACTACCCACTCACCATGGCATGGGTCTTTATTGCCATACAGTCCGTAAGTAACCCAACTCTAGCATTCCATCCTGAGTGTCTGGAGGACACTCTTGGAGCCAAGACTTTTAGACTGGGTTCTGTAGAAAACAGAGCCTGAGTGCAGTTTGAAAGAAACTGGAGTGAAGACAAAAGGGCTGGGCAGAGAAGGAGGAGAAACTATTAATAATACAATAGTGTATTACTGAACTAGCTACCTCTTGTTATCAAGCCCAGCTGACTGGTCAGTATCATGAGAGTAATATTTTGAGAGGTTGTATGAACTACTGTATTTCAGGACAACCTGTCTGGGTGGAGGAAGGAGAGGAGCTTATCTGCTGGACCCATCTTATTTTGATTAAAGGTTTACCCCATGGACATTAACTCCCCTGCACTTATGGCTACACTTTGTTAGAAGCCCAACAGTTACCACTATCTCAGCCCTCTTGAGGTGGGAGGTGAGATGTGGGTGGCTTGGGGAAAGGGAGGGGAACTATTGGGGTGTGCCCATGTAAAGTCTGTTGCTTCAGTAGTCTCTGGGCAGAGCCCGTACAGTTGGTTGCTGTGGTGGTAGTTGGGGAAAACAAGTGGTCAATGACCCTGGAGTCAGGCCAGGCTGTTTGGCAAACAGGTGACATATACACTGCTTGATATGTCTAACACATTACCTTTCTTGAATCTTGGTTTTCAGTATTTCTTTAATTTCATTTAGTGTTCTAATAAATTCTCATTTTTTGCTTGTTAGAGCCTATTTCTGTTTCATGAGGGCCAAGAGAGCAATTCTTTTTTCACCAGGCTGGAGTGCAGTGGCGCAATCTCGGCTCACTGCAACCTCCGCCTCTAGGGTTCAAGTGAATCTCCTGCCTCAGCATTCCCAGTAGCTGGGACTACAGGCGCCTACCACCACACCTAGCTGATTTTTGTATTTTTATTACAGATAGGGTTTTACCATGTTGGCCAGGATGTTCTCGATCTCTTGACTTTGTGATCTACCCACCTAGGCTCCTAAAGTGCTGGGATTACAGGTGTGAGCCACTGCGCTGAGTCTAGAAACAATTTTACACCCTCCTTAGTGCTCCAAACACTGCTGTATACTTATTTGGTGCTAAAGCTCAGTGAACTGCAGAAACTTGTTTATGTACTGTACCACTTACCTATTGCTGTATAACAAACTGTCCCCAAATTAATGATTAAAAGCAATAATGATTCACTGGTTCTTCTGCTGATCTTCTGTGGTAGATGGGTGGGTATGGGCTCAGCCTCTTTCTCCATGTGGTCTGTCATCTTCATAGGGACTAACCAACAGTTCTTAACATAGCACCTGGATTTCAGCACAGCAAGTCCAAATGCACAAGCGCTTATCAAGATGCTTGCTGAGATCCTATTGGCCAAACAAGTCACAAGGCCAAGTCCAGCATCAATGTGGAACTCTGCACAAAGGCATGAATGTCAGTAGGTGTGATTCATCGTAGACCATCAGTGTTACAGTCTACCATGGAGTATTTACACTGTTCCTTAGGGCAGAGACTTCTGGTGGTCCCCCAACAGCTGTTCTCCCTTGCTTCTGTATTAAGAAATCCCTGAATTCTGTTAATGAACTCGGGACTCTCAAAAAAAATTATTTTTTCCTGTATCCCCACAGTAAGGTGGGGGAGGCTTTGCGTCCCCGTTTTGACCAATGGGATGTAATTGAAGGTGTATTGTGGCAGTTTCCAGGAATGTTCCTTAAGTGAGAACAAGCATGTACCCCCTGGCTTTTTGTGCCTTCCTGCATCCTGCTGTTTAAAATGTGGGTATGACTTTTGGCTGCCATCCTGGACCCTTAAGCACCTTCCAGAGATGATGGAGTTGTGAGGTGGAGGTGCCTGTGTCCCTGAGGACTTCACTGAGTAGAACCTTCACTTAGTCTTAGAATTCCTACCTCTAGACTTTTACTTGGGATACTAATCTTTTATTTTATTTTAATCTATTGTTATTGTGGGTTCTGTTATTAGCAGCTAACATAATCCTGTCACACTACTGAAATATAGTCTCTCTGGCCGTAATCGACAGCATATAATTTTTTTTTTTTTTTTTTGAGACAAAGTATCACTCTGTTGCCCAGGCTGAAATGCAGTGGCGCTATCTCAGCTCATTGCAACCTCCGCCTCCTGGGTTCAAGTGATTCTCTTGCCTTAGCCTTCTGAGTAGCTGGGACTACAAGCATGCACCACCATGCCTGGGTAATTTTTGTATTTTCAGTAGAGATAGGATTTTGCCATGTTGGCCAGGCTGGTCCAAACTTCTGGCCTCAAGCAATCTTCCTGCCTTGGCCTCTCAAAGTGCTGGGATTATAGGTGTGAGTCACCACACCTGGCCCACGGTATGTAATTTCTTACCTTCCACTCATCTTCACCCAAAACATTCTGATGGCTCTTACTGATTAGAAGAGGAGGAAATGCATTAAGTTTAGTTGGCAGAAATTGTATGAATTTAAATCAGTGCATTCAGAGAAACATGTAGCTCATCAAGCCATTAAGAAAACAAAAAACAGAAAGCTACAAAATGTTTGTATTCCTGTAACTCACAAGAGACAAATCTAGAACAATGATAGGGTCTGGTCTATTAGGGAAAGCTCTCAGTGAGACCAAGCACAAAGTCCTCTTCTGGTTTCTTTGGTTTGCGGCTGTCGCATGTTAATGATATTTTTTGATGAGAAAAACCACATGCAAATGAAATAATTCTTTGTCTCCACTTGGAGATGCAGTGGTGGTGCTGGGGAGAACTAGGAAAGAGTTTGTGTATCAGACAAAGGTTGGGATTAAATAAAGGAGATGTGCCTTCAGTCATAGTCACTTCTTAAGTGCTGTATGTCTATGTGACTCCTGATGACTTGGTGAAAGAAAATGTCAGCAAACTGCCTTAACTGTTTTCCTCGATCTGAAGAAATGAACACACTTGGAAATGGAAGAGTTTCCTCTCGTGGTGCAGTGGCTTTGTGCATTGGCTTGAGCTGTAGTAATCTAGCAGTTTGTTGCTTCAGTCACTGGTCCTGACCCTTGCCCTTGCCACTGCCAGGGAGAGTTGAGCCTGCACTGCAGGCATGAGAATACTGGATCAACACAAACATTATGGAAAATGTTTTAACATTTTCTTTTTTTAAAAGGCCTGCCTGTTATCTTTATACCTCTGTTCCCCCCAACCACCACCCCAGAAATGAGCCAGAGCCTTTGTGACAGCTAGATTTGTTTGAATATTTAGTTTCCTTCTCCATCTGTTTTGAGAAATATCTAGCCTCTTTATCAGAAGAGAGCGTAGAGTCTCACCAACATTCTTGCCCCAGGGGTCATGGTCTGAACTGTTTCCCTCAAATTTATATTTTGAAGTCTTAACTTCCAGTACCTCAGAATGAAACTGCATTTGGAGATAGGGTCTTTACAGAGGTAATTAAGTTAAAACGAGACTGTTAGGGTCATTCATTGAAAATATATTTGTCAAATGTCTACTATGTGCCAGGCACATGTTAGGCATGCAGCCCCACTGGTTAGGAGAACAGACATAGACCTACCTTCATAGTCTGTCCGTTTTCGTGGACATGTAGTTTGTGCAGTCACATAGTTCTCCATGTCAGAAGGACCCTGTGGTTAGTTTAATGCTCTGCTGTCACCATCTTGAAATTCTTAATAATTTTTGAATGAGGACTTCTGCATTATTTTTTCCTCTTGGCCCTGCAAATTATGTAATTTGTCCTGCTCATGGAAATTAGTATAGTAGGAGAATCAGTCATATTCTCTGCACTGAGGAGTGTGGTTTGGTGGCAGGGAGAGAAAGTTAGTGTAGCAGAAGTAGCACAGTATAAAAAGGTGAAGATAAAGGCTGGGCGCAGCGGCTCACGCCTGTAATCCCAACAGTTTGGGAGGCCAAAGCAGGCAGATCACCTGAGATCAGGAGTTTTTGAGACCAGCTTGACCAACATGGAGAAACCCCATCTCTACTAAACATACAAACTTAGCTGGGCGTGGTGGTTCTTGCCTGTGATCCCAGCTACTTGGGAGGCTGAGGCAGGAGAATCACTTGAAGCCGGGAGGCAGAGGTTGCAATGAGCTGAGATCGTGCCATTGCACTCCAGCCTGGGCAACAAGAGCGAAACTGGCAAAAAAAAAAAAAAAAAGATGAAGATGATAATATTTACAATGGCAGGAAGGAGAGAAGACTGCTGGTGGGGGATGACAAGATACACTAGTGGAGCAGCAGGGATTCTTTCTGTTCTCTTCACGTTTCCCCCCAAACCTTATTATTAACCTGGAATAATTCAGGTAAACTGAACAGGCCTCTATTTTTTGAAATCTGAAAGAATCTAAGTAACATGCACATATGGGAATTTATTTAAGTCATGGGATTGAAATAGAGCAAGGAAAGAAGATAATTGAAGATGCTTGAAGACCAGTGTTTCCCACACTATCTGTGAAGGAACTTTTCATTCTTTTTCATTACCCACTTATCATGAACTGATATTAATACTTTTGGAATGTAAAATAGAAACAAACTGCAAAAAATAAAAAATAAAAACAGAGGCAAACCAAATATTGTACAAGCTCACATTTTTTAGATTAAACAGAAATAGAATTATATTTCAATAAAAATAACCAGAACAAATGTAACATGAGATGAAAGAAAAAAATTACAAAATGCACATTGTTTATTGAAAGTGTCCAGATAATTAATATAGAGAATTGGCATTATCCTTCCAATATTTATCACTTCAGAGCCGTAACAACTAACAAAAAGTTGGGAGTGAAGTAGCAATTTCCCGCTGAACAACCAGCATGAATATTAATATTTAAAGTTTTAATGTGACAAATGAGTGGGCTCCTTGCTTGTTAAATTATCTAATCTAGGTTGGATTGTTGACATGTAACTTGCAGGAGATGATGTATATCTAAATTCTTTTTATATTTTATTTTAACTCCCGAAGTGCTGGGATTACAGGCATGAGCCACAATGCCTGGCCTAGACTCTGCTGAAATTCTAATACTTCTTTAGTAGTGCAACAGAAAACTGTAAAGATTTTGATGGGGAACTCAATTGCTTCTGAGTTGTGGAAATGAAAAATATATTTTATTTATTAATTTTTCCTTCAACTTTTTTAAGTTTCAGGGTATATGTGCAGGTTTGTTACATAGGTAAACGTGTGCCATGGTGGCTTGCTGCACAATCCATCACCAGCATCCATTAGCTATTCTTCCTGATGCTCTCCCTCCCCCTCCTTTCTCCCTGACAGGCCCCAGTGTGTGTTGTTCTCCTTCCTGGGTCTATTTTATGGTGTGTGGTGTGTGTGTGTGTGTGTGTGTGTGTGTGTGTGTGTGTGTATCTATTTATATGTATATATTATGTGCATATATTATGACACATATACCACAGTTCTTATTCTTTTATTTTAGGTTCAGGGATACATGTGCAAGTTTGTTATATAGCTAAACTGTGTGTCTCTGGGGTTTGGTGTGTAGAGATTTTTTTCACCACCCAGGTATTAAGTGTAGCAGCTAATAGGTAGTTTTTTGATCTTCTCTCACCCTCCACCCTCAAGTAATCCCCAGTGTGTGTTGTTCCCCTCTTCATGTCCATATGTTCTCATTGTTTAGCTCCCACTTTTAAGTGAGAACATGAAGTGTTTGGTTTTCTGTTCCTGCCTTAGTTTGCTGAGGATAAAGGTTTCTGGCTCCATCCATGTCCCTGCAAAGGACATGATCTCATTCCTTTTTATGGCTGCAGGAAAATATCTTTCACATACTAGTGAACATAGTTAAATTGATCCATGATCAAGATATACATTCTTTTGTAAATTGAGAAATCTCTTTATCATAATTGTAATATGGTAGATGTAGATGTTGATAAATTAGTTTTAAATAAAGCAAATGATATTTACATATGAAGAGAGTTTACTTCAGTTCCTAGAACTTTCATTCACTTTCCTGCTGTCCCTAATACTTTTAGCAAGCAAGCATTTACTGTGGGCACAACACTGCACTTGGTACTAAGGTAACAATGATACCCAAGATTGGTCTCTGTCCTGAAGGTACTCACAGGAGAAACATTATTAGTTATGATGCTTTCCGTTGCAAACAAGTGAAACCCTCAGCTCAGTTGAGGTCAGCTCCAGGGCTGGTCAAATTAGAGGCTCACTTACAACGCCTGAGAATCCAGAGTCTTATTTTTTTTTCTTGCTGCATACATACATTGGCGTAACTCTGAAAGCTGAATGCACGCCAGAGTCTTTTGAAATGCCTCCTGCACCAACCTCAGCATTTCTAGCTTCTCTGCAGGTTGACTTGCCTCATGTTACAATGGCTGCAGCAACTGAAAGTGTCACATCCTCAACAATATTTAATATTATTATTATTTAATAATATTTAGAACTGTGCCATCCCTGTATTTCAATTTATCAGGCTCCCAGCAGACCACCCTTTATCTTTCAAATGTCAAAACTGCATCGTGAGCTCTTTCTAAACTAATCTGGGGTGAGGTGAACGGAAGTAGCACTTTAATTGCATTCGTTCTCTGTAGCTGGACTTAGGCCTCGGCCCTACCTCCTGAAATTTATCCCCCAAGAAAGATTTCTGAAGTTAGGTAGGACTGGCTGTTCAATAGGCCAGTGCTTGCCAAACCTTTACACATCCTGACATATGTCATGTATGCAGATAAAAAGATAATCCATTGTACAACTGGCTGGATAAACTCAGGAGGTTTACAGCCATGACCTGCTTGAAGGTTCCTCCTGCCTCAGACCTTGCTCAGCTGCTACAGGATGAGGGGATTTACAACAGAGCACAACTGTAGTCTATTCACAGCACAAACCATCTCATTCCCTCTCAGTTGGTGAGTTCAGAGTGGGCAATAACAGTGTCTGCCAGAGATAAAAATATGTACTCAGATTACATAATCTATTTATATAAATACCAAGACACAGAAGTGATACAGTTTTAAGCCAATGTTTAATGGTGGTAGTCCCAACAAGCTCTTTTTTAATGTTTTTGTGCCTTTGCACATGCGCCTTCTCTGTTTTCTTCATCAAAATAATGTAATGGACAAATGGAATCAAATACAGTTAAGTTTAAATCCTCTGCTACCCATCTGCCCTGATATTGGGCAAATTAACTTCTCTGAGCCTGCTTCCCTGTCTGCAACGTAGACTAGCTAATACTACCCATTAGAAAGGGCTGTTTCTTAGCTAATGTATGGCGGGCTTAAAACCTAGATGATGGTTTGATTGGTGCAGCAAACCACAATGGCATACGTATGCCTATGTAACAAACATACACGTTCTGCACTTGTATCCCAGAACTTGAAGTTAAAAAATATAAAAAGCTGTTTCTGGGGATTAATTATGTAAGGCGGCCTGCACAGTTCCTGGTACACAGTGAATTTCAGGCCTGTCTGGCAAACTTCTATTCAACAACTACTGCTCCTCCGAAAATCTCCCTTAAATGTTTCCACGGTGCTTCCCGTTTTTACATCACTACGAAGATCTTTTCTTACATTATTATCCGTTCACTCCCCACAGCTCCCTCCCCTTTCCCTAACCAGCGATCCCCTAAAGGCCAGCACTGTCTAACATTTTGCATCTTCTAGTGACTAGGAAAGTTCAGCACCTATTAGCGTTCCAAGTTTGTTTTAGTTTTGGCCGACTTTGCTAAGCCGACTGGGCAGGAGGGGGCAGGCGCTGCCCAGGGAGGCAGAGGCGCGCGCCCGCCGAGGGTGCACTCCCTAGACACTCCCCGCGGGGCCCGAGCGCCTTCCCAGTCAAGACCCCGGGACAGGGACGGGGCCCACGGACCCTCGCTAGACTATTTATACAGCCCTGTTAAGGGCCGGCCTGGAGGCTGTGGTTTCAGGTGGAAACACGTCCGGGCCGCGCCGGATGCCTCAGAGAAGGCGCTTGGACCCACGCCGGGTTTCCCAGTTTATCCCTCACGACCCAGCGCTCCAGCCTGCGCACCGCCCAGCGCCCCAGTGCCCCACAGACTCCGCCGGGCCCGGGAAGCCTCACGGACGTGACGCCGCGGGCGGAAGTGACGTTTTCGCGCGGTTGGACGCGGCATTCAGTTGCCGGGCGGGGGAGGGTGCGTCCGGTTTTTCTCTGGGGACGTTGAAATTATTTTTGTAACGGGAGTCGGGAGAGGACGGGGCGTGCCCCGACGTGCGCACGCGTCACCCTCCCCGGCATTCCTCCACAGCTAGCTGCCTCCAGCCGCGGGAAGGCGTCATGCCGCCCAAAACGCCACGAAAAGCCGCCGCCGCCGCTGCCGCCGCGGAACCCCCAGCGCCGCCGCCTCCGTCTTCTGAGGAGGACCCAGAGCAGGACAGCGGCCCGGAGGACCTGCCTCTGGTCAGGTGAGCGAGCAGAGCCGTCGCCGCCTCACGCGGGAAGGGTGCCCCGGGGGTGCGGCGAGCGGGCGGGCGTGGAGGTGGCTCGGCTGGACGCATTCTCGCCGGCGGCCAGGTCCCGGCGGGAGGAAGCGCCCTCCCTGCCCCCAGCCACCGCGGAGCGTCTGCAGAATGGTAACAGGGTTCTGGGGTCGCGGGCTAGGGGTTTCGGCTTCAGCTTGACAGGTGTCGGCGGGTGGGATTCGGGTCCTGAGTGAAGTGACAGGTGCAGTTTTCTCGTGAGGCGGAGGCTCGGAGGCGGAGGGTCGTTGGGAGCGTCCATCAGACGTGAAAAATAAAAATACAAAAATGACTGGTATCTCTGGGAGAGTTTTTCACCATTTAAGATCTGGAGTACTCCAGTGGTCGTTTGACTTTCTGTTTTAGTCTTAAGCGATGCAACAGTTGGGAAGTATTCTTTTCTAGGCGTGCATTGCATCGGAAACCCAGTCGTGGGAGAGGCCAGCCAGAGAGCCTTGGACGACAAGCGCAGGGTCTCGAGTGTCCATTGCCTACAGGGTGCTCGGCTCGGAAGCTTTCCGGGTTTCCTTAGAACAATGCGTCGAGGCCTTGGGGACTCAAAGCCATCTGTAGTGACTATGGGGCATAACTCTTCAGAGGAACTGATACATGGGCAAAACTTTCGTGAGACATTTACCAGAAGTGTTTGAAAGTTTCTGAACTTTTTTTTTTTTTTTTTTCTGTTGGACGAAGTCTTGTGTGTTGGTCGGCTTCAGCTTGTCTCGTTATTTCTTCCATTTTGCCTTTTGCCTTTGAGCCAGCAAGGATCCTGGTGTCCCCTTTTTTTGTCTTTGTTTTTGGCACAAAATTAGTGGTTCTGTGCTCATATGGAAATTTTCTTTTTCCCTTACTAAGTGAAATCTAAATTTAAGCAAGTCCATGTGGATGCACTAGAACTTAGAGGAAAGTATTTATTGTATTGCAATATCTTTTCTTTTTCATCACTGGTTCTACTTTGAGACTACAGGTTCGTTGCAGGGGAATGGGAATTGTTTTTGTTTTTCACTATTTTCTCACCCCTTTTCGTCCATCACCAAATCCTTTCACCCTCACTCACTTCTTTACACTCGGTAGACACTAACAGAATTCACAGCATAAAAGATTGAAATGGGATTTAGAAATGGCCCGTGGAAGGCTATTAAAAATTTATATATTTAAATGGAATGTCTTATAGGTCAGTTAAAAACCATATTCGTTAAAAAACAAAACAAAAAATTAAAAACCACATCTGGGGCATGTTCTGGGAAAAGACATGACTTTAGTTTCTGATTAAATTCTGATATATCCAATTCTTCCAAAGTTCCCTTGGGAAACAGTAATGGTTACTCTAAAGAATTCCATGTTATGCACTTAGCTTTGGAAGCATACTCTAATGTAGGGTAACTAGAATATTGAGGTTCTGACCACTGTTTGGAAAAAAGAGGACTGTGTTTCTTTCATTTTTAAACTCATTATTTTATATATTTTAAGTAATGAAAACATAAAAAATTATCTTATAAGTCAAAACCATACAAGATACAGTCTGTTCTTGTTTATCTGTACCCACCAAGGGTTTAATTAACATAGACAGTTAAACTCTATAAATGAGCAAGGGTAGAACCACTACCCTGCAGTCTGATGCTGAGCATCTTGCCCGGAGATGGAATCAGGGCTCAGTACAACTGCACTTCTAGTGACAGATTCCATTTCTAATTTGAGAGTTGAGATCTTATTTCTGTTGCCTTATCTCTGGCCTAAGTGATGTAGCTGGAAGGGAAACTCATTAGGAACAGCATACCACCTTCATTGTTGAAATAGTCGAAGGTTTTGAGCTGGGTGTGATGGCATGTACCTGTAGTCCGTGCTACTCAGGAGGCTGAGTCAGGAGGATCGCTCAGCTTGGGAGTTGGAGACCAACCTGGGCAACAAAGACCCCAATCTTTAAAAAAACAAACAAAAAAGCTGACCAGGCATGTTGGCTCACACCTGTAATGCCAGCACTTTGGGAGGCCAAGGTGGAAAGACTGCTTGAGGCCAGGAGTTTGAGAGGAGCCTGGGCAACAAAACAAGACCGTGTCTCTACAAAAATTTTTTTAAAAATTAGCCAGTCATGTGGCATGCCTGTAGTCCCATCTTCTCAGGAGGCTGAGGTGGGAGGATCCCTTGAGCTCAGGAGTTTAAGGCTGCAGTGAGCTATGATTTTACACTGCATTAGAGCCTGGGTGACAGAGTGACACCCTAACTCGAAAAAAAAAAAAAGGAAAAGAAAAACTAATTATGTTTTGAAGGAGGAATTGGCAGTCAAGAATAGTGGTCAAGGGCATGGATTATGAAGTTAGACTGTTCAGGTCACATGGTGGTTGACCTCTTACTGACTGAGACCTCTGGTAAGTTCTTTAACTTCTCTGATTTGATAGATATCTGTAAATGTTTACTTTTACAGGTGAGAATAATTATGTAAAAGGGCTGATATGGGGATTCTGTGAAACCGTATGTCTAAGGTACTTTCTACAGGGTCATAGTAAATACTGAAAAATTATTAATTATTCTTCATACTATTATTATTAGATGTCATATAGATATTCGATGAATGAAAGGAATTAGCCTACAAGAATTTATTGAATGCTTGTCTTTGTTAAGGATGAAGCACAAAAATAAGCAGTCAGTATCATCATGTAAGATGTGCTAGTAGGTAGAGAGATTATATGAAACATTGATAAGAGTAGACTACAGTTTAGCAAAGTTACTGCCATTAAATTGTATAATACTATGTGTGGGTTTTTAATCTTTTTGTTGTTATGCTTATGCTATTTTCCCAAACAGCTTTAGCTATTACATTTACTTTCCTTTGCAGGAGTGTTTTGCTGCTCTAAAGTATATTTGACTCACCATGCAAGCAAGTATTTCTCACTGTGTGGTATCCTTATTTTGCAATGACCAAGAAAAAGATAGTGATACGTTTAAATTTGAAATATAATTTCTTTCTAAGATAAAATAAGGTCTTAAGGTATTTAGTAATGTTCTCTTTTATAATAGTGCTATTATGTGTAATCTATTGAAACAAGTGTTTACTGAATAAATATGATTTATAAGTATATGCCAATTATATGATTATTTTCATTTGATAGGGTTGAGTTTGAAGAAACTGAAGAACCTGATTTTACTGCGTTATGTCAGAAATTAAAGATACCAGATCATGTCAGAGAGAGAGCTTGGTTAACTTGGGAGAAAGTTTCATCTGTGGATGGAGTATTGGTAAGGATTTTCTTAAAACGTTTTGAATTTTTTTTCTCATTTAAAAAACAGCTTCAAATCACTATACGAAAATTGAAAGATAGAAAAATATAAAGACAATAAAAGCTAATTATAATTCCATTACTCAGAGATTTACCTCTTGTAACATTAAAAATGTTTGAAAAAAAAATCTCCGTATATGCCTCCCACCAATCTATTTTAAAGCAGGTCTTAATTATATTTTATTCACTACGATACAAGGACTTTTTAAAAAAACCACCATACCTTATAAAATAATTTTTATACCTTCTAATATGCAGTCACTGTTCAGATTTCCTAATTGACTTATAATTAGTTTTGTTAGAATTCAGGATCTTGAAAATATTTTGATATATTCTTTTCATTTTTTCTTTGCATATGTATATATGTGTATGTTTAATAACAGCAGCAAAAAATTACTAGTATTTTATATGTACTGGGGGAATAGTATAAGAACTTTACACAGCTGGGTGTGGTGGTGCACGCTTGTAGTCCCAGCTGCTTGGGAGGCTGAGGTGGGAGGATTACTTGAACCTGGGAGGCAGAGGTTATAGTGAGCCAAGATCACACCACTGCACTGCAGCTTGGGCAACAAAGCAATACCCTGTTGCCAAAAAATAAGAAAATAAGGCTGGACGTGGTGGCTCAAACCTGTAATCCCAGCACTTTGGGAGGTCGAGGTGGGTGATCACTTGAGGTCAGGAGTTCAAGACCAGCCTGGCCAACATGGTGAAACCCCATCTCTACTAAAAATACAAAAAATAGCCAGGTATGGTGGTGGGTGCCTGTAATCCCAGCTACTTGGGAGATTGAGGCAGGAGAATTGCTTGAACCTGGGAAGCAAAGGTTGCAGTGAGGTGAGATCATGCCACTGCACTCCAGATTGGGCAACAGAGCAAGACTCCATCTCAAAAAGAAAAAAAAAAAAGAACTTGAGAAATATACAAATAACTCATTTTAAAACCATTGAGATATGAAATATAAAATGTCTATTTTATGTGAAATCTTCATTTTAAAGATGAAGACACCAAAGTAGAGTGAGGTTGAGTAACTTGACCCTAGAAAAATAAGATCCTTGTCCCTAGAAAATAAGATCTCAAATATAAATTTGAGATTATAGTTATGTGTAATTACATGTAGTTACAGTTTTGTATTTTCCTATTTTTTTCTCATGACCATTTTCTTATTAAATTTTTTTTGTAATATAGTTTCTAGTGATAGTATTATATTTTTGCTATTGGATGTATTTTAATTTGTTAACTGACTATTATTGGACATTTGGGTTTTTTCCAACTTTTTGATGCTATAAAATAATATAATAAACATTTGTATTCATAAGAGTAATGCCTGGTACAA